GATAATTATTTCTATTTTTGCACGATTTTCAAATTAATGTGTGTCATACCAAAAAACGTGCTAAAAAATTGTCTATGTTATTTACTAGTTCCGCTGATACAAATAGAAAAAGGTTTTTTTAATCAAAATTTAGAATGTTCTAAAAAAGAAGGAAAATTTTTAAAATAATTAAAAAAAAAACTTTGGTCTTTCCTCTTAATAATAACACAAGCATTTAGACAATAAAATTTAGTTTTCGGCAAGTTTGGCGTCTTTTTCATCAAGCTATGCTCTTTTTTAGCGATTTCGTGGAGGTACCTACCTCAATGGGTTATTTAATGCTGACAAGATTTTTATTGCTGGTAAGATTTTTTTTTTTTTCAAAAATTTATTGCTGATACTATTTTTGTTACAAAGTATTTCTGGTGTTAAAATCTATTTTTTCACTTTCCTAGTCAGGTTGTGGGGTCAACTATTTGCCCATAGCAAGGACCCTAACAGGTGCTACCACCCCGGGTCAGGGTCGACCTGGGAACACCAGCAATTAAGAAGTCATTCCACGTCCTCAAAACTTCCTGGTCAGAGGCCTTGTTGTTGGACGTAGTTTATCGTCTTACCCAGGACGCGAATGCAGTTTATCGTCATACCCAGGACGACACTGTGTTAATGGATAGCAGGGCTTGAACAAAATAATTATGGTAGCAACTGTTTTTCCAATTTCGCTTACCAATATATTCGGTACCTGTTAACTTCCCAAAGTCCTCTTTACTCATTCTACTCAGAAATTTGAACTAGAATTACACTGTCACTTCAAATTTCTTCATTTGTGAAAAGATTGCACAGTATTCATTGCTCTAATGAAAACTATATATTACATGGCAATTCAGTACTTTCTTTGTTTCGAACAAATTTTTCCAATCTATTTATACTTCGCTTAGTTTCTGAAAGATAACTTTTGTTATTCTTATTCGCCTCCCTATTTCTGTGTTATATTTTCTTTCCCACACTACCAATTAAAAGGTGTATACCTGTCTCATGTTTTACTTTACAGTTTCGTTTCTTTTGTCGACAACTATGGAGTCTGTCTTCTTACAGTCATTAGGCCAACAGACTTTTAGATCTAATTGTTGGAACCCAGGAAAAGACGATCTCTGAAAGAGTGGATTTTGTAAATCCAGTTAAACACCGAGTGAAATTTAAACAGAATAGAAATGTTGGATAAATAGCGGTTTCTTAACAGAGAACCGTAAAGTTGTGCCCTTAATTTACCTTAACCTCCGCCACCGAGTCAGGTTGTCCCACAAGGTTGGTTTTTAACGTGGGGACCCAAGTGTTTCCACTCATGCCGCTGGTTATATCTTGTCTAAGCTAGTCACACCCGGTTATACCACCGCTACGTAACAGATGTTACGCAACGGTGGATGGGGGAACGCAAGGGAGGAGAGAAGGCCTCCGACAAGATACAGATACTACAACCGAAGCATCTACTTCGACGGGAAAAAAAAAAAAAAAAAAAAACTTCTCTTCATCTGCCTATCCCTCCGGAAGAATCCGTAAGAAACCCCCCTCTCCGTAAAGTTGTGTCCATCAATTATCGGATCGCTTGAAACGATCGCAAAAGATCTTGCGCAAATTATAGGAGAACAGAAAAAGTTTCAACCATTCAAATGACAGCATTACTCAAGTCGGCTGGAAATAGCAAAGCGATATAAAGTTCCTCGACATCCAGCGAGAAGCACTAAATGTTTTAAAAAACGCAACACTATCTCTGAGATGAGGTATTATCATTATTTACATTATTCGGACTATTATCCTCATCTTCCCTGCCATATTCACAACGTTTCGGCCGTTGTACGCTCCTCAAGTACACATGGCACAGTGGATAAAGACGTTGGTTAGATCCAGTGACTAGACCCAAAAAGTTGTGAGTTTAATACCAGGCTATAGCAGTGGTGAACCGAAAAACTTGGACAATTGAGTTAAAAGGAAATAATAGACATCCGGAAGAGGCATGGCAAGTAGAACGAGAACAATCTACCCCGGTGGACGAAACAAATGGTTTGGTTCGAAATTCCAATGGCCTGAAGAAGGCCGGAGCATACAGCAGCCGAAACACTATTTATATTATTCGGACTATTATTACCATATTTATTACAACGTTTCAGCCGTTGTACGCTCCGACCTTCTTCAGGTAGTTGGAATGTCGAACTGAACCCTTTATTTCGCTCACGGTCCGAATAAGGTAAATAATGTAAATAAAACACAACAGGTACAGAAACAATTATATCAGATTAGTATTCTTTATGAAAAAAAAGAACTTTAGAAAACGACTATTATGTAAAGTTTGTAGACGAGTGCTAGTGACATTATATCCCAAGACTCTCTACCGTGTGGTCTGATCATCGGTCACTAAACCGGTTCTCCTATCAGACTTTTCTGGTGAGAAATGGATCGAATCACCTAACTGGATTAAAAGCAAGACCTATCAAAGAGCAGATAAGCCTTCTTGTAAAATCAATGGCCATCTAGCATAATGGGGTTGACTGGACTCTCATAGATATATATTTAGTCGGTGCAGTGATGACACAGCATCGATGGGAGGAAGGCTTCCCAGATTGAAGTCAATGACCAGGGTAGATGGTTCTCTCCGATGGAATCGACGGCCACGTTACTGTAACCAAAGCAAGCCCTCAAATTGGAGAACGTCAACTATGGTTTGATCTGACGAGAGATTGGGCGCCCCTACCACCGCACCCGGTCATAGAAGTGAAGATGAGGATATTATCAAGTGAAATTCACATCATAAATATATGGAAAAAATTTTACCAACATTGATTTGCTTCATAAAATCTGATGTAGTGTATAATGGGGCAGCGATATTTTATTTCCATCTCATTTTTTTTCTCGGGTAGAAGGTTGAACAGATGTGGTCTGGAAGGTCTACTTGCCCAAGACACGCTACGCATGGATGAATACATCTCCGGCTCTCAACTCAGCTACGCAGCCACCGTACGACGACACCCAGTCATGGGACTGATGATAATGACGACAGAAACTACAGGGAAATGAAAGTATGCACATCATGGTTTCATTTGTTTTGCGGCTTTCAAAGTAGTTCCCATAATAATGAGCGCACTCTGACTGATCCCCAAACAGAAGAGATTGCAAAGAGGGGAGTTCCGAAGAAGATTTGAAACAGTAAAAACCATGGCATTACGAAAATCTTCCTTAAGACCGCTCGGGACTAAAAGTGACATTGACTTGGTGTCACTTGATCTTCTGCTGGGGCCGTCAATAAACCGGATACGAGATGCGTATTAGTAATAATATATCGTGTTAATATATAATACGGCAGCACCGGGAACGATTTCTTGCTGATTGGATGACATAACGAAGCAGCAGCCAACGAAGAATTCTTCAGCTAATGTGTTTCTTGGCACAAGTTGTTAATTTATTTATGGACTTCCAGGTAAAACTACCAAACCATCTTGGGGATTTTTTTTCTTAAATATATGAAATATCTAATTTAAAAATGATTTACCCCCCCCCCCGGACTTTGAACGAGTGCTAGTTTGCATCCCTGGCAAGTGGGCGGGAATTCAATTTATCAAATGAATTTACGCGAATCATGGACCGGAATAATGCATAAATGTCCCATGATTACGATAAAAATTTACAGCCAATATATTAGATGCCAGAGAAATTATGCAAGCGTTTTTTTTGTTGTTTTTTTTTTTTTTTCTTCTTCAAGAATCCGACTAACGTCTTTACCGAGTAAACCAGTGACTCCTTAAAAATATTTATTACACATACAGGTGACACATTTTGCAATTACTCAAAATCTGCATGATAATCGTGCATTTTAATATATGCCAGTGGTATATTGATTTCTATGTAATGAATATGAGTGTCCGCCGTAGAGTGATGGTAAGCGCCTCGAATCATTTGCTAAAGGAAAGTCCTCTCCGAATTTCCTAATACTGTCACCTTATATTATAGGAAGCTAATCATTCTGTGTACCTATGTAATGACAAATTGATAAGCAATACATATGAAATATCCTTTTACTTGCACATCAGACACTCAAAATAAAGCCGAGGTGGAGGTACACGTTGTGTGGTAAACAATTTTTCCGGTGTAATATATTGTGGGGAATGTTGTTCTTGGTTAAAAACTATAGTACAAGTTATGGCCACTGACGGAACCTTTGTGGCGTCGTAAGACGACCACACTCTACACACTTTCCTTCCAAGCACTGCTATAATCAACAGAAGTGAACGAGAACGTTATAATTTAGTGTATATGTGTGACAGAGTTCAAGGTCAATATGTGCCAAGTCGCTTCACTGTGCATCATTTAGCTCCGTTACTATAGCAACAGTCCAGATACATTTGACCCGACCTCGTAGTTATTTATACAGAACTTGAGATAGACATTGTAAACCACCACGTCAGGAATTTCTTTCCAAATATATTTTAATATCAAATTTCACCCAATACAAGGCTCGAGAGACACTAAATGTCAACAGAATGAGACTTGATTGTGACTAAAATATGCATGAAGTGCGCTAAAGGATTTTATTTGAAACTGAAAGGTTCAATGTTTAGATATGGAATCCCCAAGGCGGCCACCTGCTCCTGCTCTCCACAAGTAGAGAGAAAAGAAGTGAGACAAATAAACATTTTCGGAGTCAAGTGCAACTTGCCTGGAAGTTAGGGAATTCCAGTCGCGGATTTAGTTAGGCCGCATAATTTACAAGCCGCAGAAAGACAGTCGGACATGTAGACATTCGCAGTCAGAAATGGGCAAAGACCTAGTCTAGATTCTCGCTAGTAAAAAGCAAAGGCTTATTCGTTAGTCTGCTGTAAGAGAAAACAGCAGCAACAGCAGCGAAGATACACCGAAGATGCCTACCTCCAGGACGTGCTTGATGAACTAGTGAATAAATAACCAAACGGAATTCATACTTTCTAGCTGTGGCGATATTTTAACCACCCGTTCCCTTACACAATTTGTTCACATCAACGTAGACGAGAAACGAACCCTACAGTAGTATGATTTGTCATGAGAGAAAGAGGTGAGTGAGAGAGAGAGAAAAAAAGAGAGGCGAGCGAGCGAGAGAAAAAAAGAGAGGCGAGCGAGCGAGAGAAAAAAAGAGAGGCGAGCGAGCGAGAGAAAAAAAGAGAGGCGAGCGAGGTTGAGAAAAAAGAGGCGAGAAAGCGAGAGAAAAAAGAGAGGCGAGAAAGGAGAGAAAAAAAAAGCGAGGCGAGCGAGAGAAAAAAGAGAGGCGAGCGAGCGAGAGAAAAAAAGAGAGGCGAAAAGGAGTTGAGAAAAAGAGAGGCGAGAAAGTTGAGAGAAAAAAGAGAGGCGAAAGGGAGGAGAAAAAAAGAGAGGCGAGTTAGCGAGAGAAAAAAGAGGCGAGCGAGCGAGAGAAAAAAAAGAGAGGCGAGAAAGCGAGAGAAAAAAGAGAGGCGAGGCGAGCGAGAGAAAAAGAGAGGCGAGCGAGCGAGAGAAAAAGAGAGGCGAGCGAGCGAGAGAAAAAAAGAGAAGGAGCGAGCGAAAGAGAAAAAAGAGAGGCGGAGCAAAAGAGAGAAAAAAGAGAGGCGAGCGAGGCGAGAGAAAAAAGAGAGGCGAGCGAGTTGAGAGAAAAAGAAAAGAGGAGAGAAAGGCGAGAGAAAAAAGAGAGGCGAGAAAGAGAGAAAAAGAGAGGCGAGAAAGCGAGAGAAAAAGAGAGGCGGAGCGAGCGAGAGAAAAAAGAGGCGAGAAAGGCGAGAGAAAAAAAGAGAGGCGAGAAAGCGAGAGAAAAAAAGAGAGGCGAGGAAAAGAGAGAAAAAAGAGAGGCGAGCGAGCGAGAGAAAAAGAGAAAGAGCGAGCGAGAAAAAAGAGAGGCGAGAGAAAGAGAAAAAAAAGAGAGGTGAGAAAGAAAGAGAGAAAAAGGAGAAAGGAGCTGAGAAAAAGAGAGGTGAGCGAGCGAGAGAAAAAGAGGAGAAAGGCGAGCGAGAAAAAGAGAGGCGAGAAAGAGAAAAAGAGAGGCGAGAAAGAGCGAGAGAAAAAGAGGCGAGCGAGCGAGAAAAAAAGAGAGGCGAGCGAGGAGAGAAAAAGAGAGGCGAGAAAGCGAGAGAAAAAAAGAGAGGCGAGAAAGCGAGAGAAAAAGAGAGGGCGAGCGAAGGAGAGAAAAAAGAGAGGCGAGCGAGCGAGAGAAAAAAAGAGAGGCGAGCGAGCGAGAGAAAAAAAGAGAGGCGAGCGAGCGAGAGAAAAAAAGAGAGGCGAGCGAGCGAGAGAAAAAAAGAGAGGCGAGCGAGCGAGAGAAAAAGAGAGAGAAAAAGAGAGGCGAGTGAGCGAGTGAAACAGAGAGAGAGAAAAAGAGAGGCGAGTGAGCGAGTGAAACAGAGAGAGAGAAAAAGAGAGGCGAGCGAGCGAGTGAAAGAGAAGAAGAGAGGAGAGTGAGTGAGAGAGAGAGAGAAGCGAGAAGAGAAGAGAGAAGAGAGGGAAGAGAGAGGGAGAGGGGAGGGGGAGGAGAGGGCAGGAGAAGAGAGGGAGAAAGAGAGAGAGAGAGAAGTGTGAAAGAGAGAGAGAGAGAAGTGTGAAAGAGAGAGAGAGAGAAGTGTGAAAGAGAGAGAGAGAAGTGGAGAGAGAGAGAGAGAGAAGTGTGAGAGAGAGAGAGAGAGAGGTGTGAAAGAGAGAGAGAGAGAGAGGGAAAGAGAGAGAGAGTGAAAGAGAGAGAGAGAGAGAAAGAGGAGAAGAGAGAGAGAAGGAAAGAGAGAGAGAGAAGTGGGAGAGAGAGAAGGGGGGAGAGAGAGAGAGAGAGAAGAGAGAGAGAGAGAGAAGAAAGAGAGAGAGAGAAGTGAAAGAGAGAGAGAAGGTGAAAAGAGAGAGAGAGAGAAAGAGAGAGAGAGAGAGAAAGAGAGAAAGAAAAGAGAGAGAGAAGTGTGAAAGAGAGAGAGACGTGGGCGAGAGAGAGACGTGGGCGAGAGAGAGAGAGACGTGGGCGAGAGAGAGAGAGACGTGGGCGAGAGAGAGAGAGAGACGTGGGCGAGAGAGAGAGAGAGACGTGGGCGAGAGAGAGAGAGAGACGTGGGCGAGAGAGAGAGAGAGACGTGGGCGAGAGAGTGTATGAATGAGAGAGTGTATGAATGAGAGAGTGTATGAATGAGAGAGTGTATGAATGAGAGAGTGTATGAATGAGAGAGTGTATGAATGAGAGAGTGTATGAATGAGAGAGTGTATGAATGAGAGAGTGTATGAATGAGAGAGTGTATGAATGAGAGAGTGTATGAATGAGAGAGTGTATGAATGAGAGAGTGTATGAATGAGAGAGTGTGAGTGTAGGACAGTGTAGGTATGAGTGAGCCGCGACTGTATGTTTATATTAAGTTAAAGGATTACATCCAATAAAATGGTAACGCTAAATAAAGTGTATGATATGAAAGGAAAAGATGGTGGGTAAGACAAACTATGAAGATTAGGAGAAAGATAAAAATTGATCTAAACGAAACAAATAAAAATGAAATTTCAGAAAAGCAACCACGTAGAAGTCTGTTCCACATTTACAGTTCTTGGAAAAAAAAACAGAGTTAATCATTCTTATCTTTGGAACACGGGGGATATGAGGATGATTCGACTCTGTGAAAGTGGCATTGTCCAAACTAAAGAATAGAACTCATCTGAATATTTACCTTGGAAATGATGATAAAGTAGCAACAGACTTGCAAAGTTGCATATATGAGAAAGAGATTGCAGAGTAAAAACTAAATTTTCCCCCATAATCATGTGTAAAATATTTTGGACTATCAAGTTTGAAAAATAAGAATTGAGTAGCTCCCTGCGCAGATATGGCGTCAATACTCTATTCCTTGCCTATTTTGACCCTTGCGAAGAAAGCATGGCAGGTGTCATACTTTCTGGGGCGTTAGAATGAGTCGCTCTTTTTTCCAGTATGGTGATTTTCTAAGCGTAGCTTAGATATGGCACAAAATCGAAAGTAGGGGCCACCCAGTGAGGATCAAATTCACTACTCAGTCGTATTTGTTCTAGTGAGACAAGCTTGCTAACCATTACACCACGCCGAGGTGCCCAAATGATTTTCCAAGCATAGCTCCGATGTGTCACAAAGCTGAAAGTATGGAGCACCCAGTGAGGATCGCCATTTTTCCAGCATGTTTGGCAAGTGGGTCGACAGCAGAAAAGAACCGTGTTTAAGTTCAGCAGAAATGACCAAAATAGAACGAATCGCTTACATCGTTTGTAAATAAGGCGTTCTAAAAACCAAAAATCAGATATCAACTTAAAATATATTTTATGCAAAGACAGCCATTAATTATTTATAAAGGACACGTTTATAAATTTTTGTATTCAATCACAAATTATTTGGAAGATATGACACCGAAATTCGGAGTGGCACTGGAATAGTCAAAAATACTTTCCAAAATTTAAAACAAATTAAGAAACAGAAAGTACTGAAACTAATATCAACCCATATATGGAAGTCTTGATAAGATCCAGAGACGGATATGCAATATAATTGGCTCTGATCTGGCATCTCGTCTACAGTCACTTTCTCACAGACGCGCCGTCACCTCTCTCTGTCTTTTTTACAAATACTTTCATGGAAATTGCTCCGATGAGCTGCTTCCCAGACTTCATGAATTCAAGCGCCCTACGAGGCTGGCATCCCGCTCTCACCCTTTCACTGTTGAAACTATTAAATGTAGCCGTCTCTTCTTCTCTAATAGCTTCATATCTTGCACCTCTCGCTTGTGGAACTCTCTTCCTATTCCTGTTTCCCTGACTGCTATAATCTCCAACTATTCAAATGTAATGTCAATCGACATCTCCAGTTGCCTTGATCTATCCACTATCCTTCTCCTCTAGCACTCCTATCTGCTCTCGCTCCAAATCTTCTGTAACCCCTTGCGTACCTGTGGCTTCCCGCCTTACTAGGGGTGAATCGATTAAAAAACAATGCTAGACAATTTCCTTACAAGTGAAGAGAAGACTTGAGACAACAGTGTTCTATAGAAGGATATTGTGAATGCCCTGGTTGGAACATGTAAGTAACGAAAACGTTTTTAGAGAAAATGGAGAATAAAAAGGACAGACTATAGGTGAAATTTCTGAGACAATGAGAAAAGTGGGCTCGATGAATTTAACACTCTCTGGACATATTGAAGGCAAGAGAGGTAGAAGGAACCAAGGTTGTGTAAATAGATAACAGAATTAGGACTGAGGGGATATAGCAAAAGGACAAATATTACTTAGTGCTATAAAGGATAAAATGTAGTGGAGAGCCATGTTCCTGTGAGACAATCTGGAAACTGAAGTTGGATCCTTCAATCTAATATTCTTATTGCTTGTGTGTAATAAAAAAAAAAAAAACATTCGGTTTAGTTCTAAACGAGAACAATCGCTATCCTCATAATTTTCACTTCCTTCTGCATCCTCTTACATACATATCACACACCTTATTCAGTAACCCTCTACCGCGAGTGGCTCTTAAGCCATTATTAGGCGAACTCTAGCATAAAAAAAACGTAGATTAAATAATGGTTTCAAGTCGAAATTCCCAGAAATTTGCCCAAATCGACATTTGGGCAAACTCTTAATCCCAGAAATTCTTATTCAGCTTTAATGAACTTATCAGTTTTAAGTTGCAAGACAGAAACTTAAAAGTGGGCAAAAGTTACATTTGTCAACCTTCCTTTACCACAAGAAGGCATAAAGAGTTTATATGTTATTTAGTAAAAACGCTCTACCTAACATTCTGACCATTATATCAGTGTAACAGAACACTTTAGTCTTTGGTTTAAATGCTGTAAAACCAAATCAAACTTTCCTTTACTCTCTGATTTTCTCATCTACACTTGAGTGATTTCTGTTTGCTACTGAATTAAGTGCATTAACAAGGAATGAGATTAAGCCGAAAAATATCTTGTGTAAAAAGTGCTTTTCTCATCGTTAGGCTGTGGAATTAATAGATTTTAACCCCTGAAGGAACATCTAAAAGACAAATCAATATTTCCTACCAAAATAGCCTATCAATGATTTCTTGACGAAAATAAGTTTTGTTTTTTTTTTTACAATATTTTAAGAGCAATTTTTCCAATTACTGGATGCAACTTTTGAGCGTATAACTGTACACACGTTCAATTCACAAATAACTACACTAAACTAGCATCATGGCAAAGCAGGAGGATAATGACCTTGGGTTCTACGGTTACGTCCTAGACTCCTTGAACGTTTTGATGTTGCCGGTAACACAAGTGATTCTGAAACCTGAGTGGCTGATGAGGTTCTCTCGCAAGAGATTTCTTTGTCTTTGAATGACTGACAAGATATCTAGAATATTTTTTTTCCTTTCTGGAGTTCCTTGCTCAAGCCAATCATGCTTAAAGGCAATTTGTAGATGACGATGAAAGAAATTAAATTAAAATTAAATTTGATTCGATTGTTCTGAAGTAACTGGCAAGATATTTCATTGGATATCATACAAAAATATGTCTCAAAAAAATTAACAAGCAAAATAAAACAGAACTTGAAATATGGATACCCGTCAAAACAATAATAATATTAAAATATTCCAATTAACTGACAGATGACCTTTCAACTCTTAAAAACTGTGGTGAATTTTCAAGAAAAACTATGAAGTTGTTCGGAAAATTATATCCGAATTTAGAATCCATTTTATTCCGGAATTAATGTATTTAAAGAGTGTTTAAATCAGACAAAATAGGAACACTGAACACTTACACATTTCTGCCAACGAGTTCTATACGCTATGTCACTTCAGGCGATCGTAGCTCTCCACAATTTCTTGTCCTTTGTAGCTATTAATAAAATTTTGTCTTCTTGTTAATTCTCCTAAACCTCGTTTCGCCATTCTAAAGTCTACACGTTTGAATATTATTCCTCGGTTATCCTTGACATCTTTCTCCATTTAGTTCCTTTTTCGTTATTTTTGTTATCTCTCCTAAACCTTTTAAAAATATAATTTTATTCTCTCAGGAATTGTTTTAAAGTAAGGAGCAACCAGACCACAAAGAAGAATTCCAATGTCGAAATTCTTCTTTCTTTTGCCATCAATATTTTGTATATTTGATGTACTCCCAGTGTCTCATTTTACAGGTGTTAACTAAGTGATGATCTAGATACGTAAAATTAGGAGTGTGAAATTATTGGTTAAAGTAGGAAAAAAAAAAAAAAAAAAAGAATTCCTTTATTATCCCTTACACACGAAAAAAATATGAAAATCTCTCTCTCTAAAAATATAAATATATATATATATATATATATATATATATGGAAGAGGTTATAGTTGTTCCAACGAGAGAAAAGTGTATATTTTAAAAAGATAAACCGCAAATCTTTTGGTTGAAATCTGAATTTTTATTTTTAAATATATATTATACTTATTTTCCATAATTCTACTAATTAATTAATTATGGAAAATAGAGTATATATATATATATATATATATATATATATATATATATATATATATATATAGAGAGAGAGAGAGAGAGAGAGAGAGAATATATATATAAAAGGCTGTGTGTGTGTGTGTGTGTAACGAATGCACGGCCGCAATTTTCGACAGATTTGCACAAAAATTTACATGCACATGCTCCAAGTTAGCGGAAAGGCCAAGGCCGACTTTGCATTTCCCAACTCCCATTGATAGTGGAAATAATCGATTTTTTCATGCTTCTTCGGCAGTTTTCATGTAGTTTGCGGCCATTTTCTACTGGCCAGAGTGAGAGCCTATAGCTGGCTGCTACGAATAGGCAGGAGGATTCTATTGGCCAACGTGAGAACCAACAGCTGACTGACACGAATGTTAACTAGCGTGCAAAAAAAATCGATAGCTGCATTCGTCACAAGTAGGAAAAATTTTAATCTGCATGGCACTTTACTCCAATTGGCTCATTCGCTTGCTTAAACTCAACGTTGATTCTGATTCCGCAGAACTGGGTTGGGTGTGAAAAAAGTATTTGTTGTTAACATTCTTTTTCCGTTCGGTTTTTCCAGTTACGAGTCCTTTTTTTAAAGCTGATCGTTTTGTGTTCATTTTTGTTTAGTGCTTTTTTCGTAACAGGTTTAATGTTTAGTATAGAGCTGAGAAAAAAATTCGCAGTGTGAGATAGGCAAGAAGTAAGGCATGTAGCAACATCAGCACGGCAAAGGGCACTCCTTTAAAAGCAAGGAAGGGCAAAAATATTTTAAGTCAAGTGATAGCGATTGCTGTATGAGTCGTACGATTTTTGAATCAAGCACGGACAACGCTGCTAGTTTTAAAATAAAAATCCACAATTCAACCAAAAAGCGTTTGTGGTTTATCTTATATATATATATATATATAT